AGTGTTCCAGACGTCTGGAGGAGAAGCATCTCAAAGCGTGACAACATTTCCCTGTAAGCGAGCGTGTGTACTACGAGACATCTCCTTTAGCAGTGGCAACATATAGTGATGGGTTTTACACTTTCAACTGGTAGAAAAACTGACACCTTGATACAAGGGATCATGTTTGCAGTAATCACAACACAAGCAGTCAAAATGCAAACAAAAAGAAACAACTCTGATGATGATATGCACTGTCCTTGAAGTTGTTTCTTTTTGTTTGCATTGTGACTGCTTGTGTTGTGGTTATTGCAAACATGATGCCTTGTATCAAGGTGTCAGTTTTTCTACCAGTTTAAAGGGTTAAACCCCATCACTATATTTTTCCACTGGTAAAGGAGACGTCTCATAGTGTAAATGCTTCACCCCGAGCTCTCAATACTCCGATAGTGCCATTGTCTTTGAGTTGTGCGCCTTTTGGCGTCATCTGGTCCAACACCAATGTAGACTAGGCTCTAAGAAAAGCTGTCTCGGGTGTGGACCAATCAACTTCAAGGACAGTGAATATCATTATCATCATCACAGTTGTTTCTTTTAGTTTGCATTTTGACTGCATGTGTTGTGGTTATTGCAAACATGATGCCTTGTATAAAGGTGTCAGTTTTTGTACCAGTATAAAGGGTAAACACCTACTACGTGTGTGTGTGTAGTTGCCGTGGTGCGGTACCTGTGCTCAGCAGAGACGTTCTCTCCCATTCGCAGGATCTCAAGATCTAGGTAGGCGCTCTGTCCTCATCCGTTCACTGGAAATAACAACAACAGCAACAACAACAACAGCAACAACAACAACAACAACCAAACGAGAAAACTCAACTCACGAACGCTTCTTCTTGGTTCTTTCGGTAAAGTCACGTAGAAGGGAAGTAATAAAATAATAAAAATAAAACATAATAAAACAATTCTCACGACGTTTCGGCCACAACGTCGTGAGAATTGTTTTATTATGTTTTATTTTTATTATTTTATTACTTCCCTTCTACGTGACTTTACCGAAAGAACCAAGAAGATGAATCCCTGCAGTCACGAAAGCTTTAAATCGAAATCACGAACGCTTCTCGAAATATTGTCGTCCCCTCGGTGTGGAACTTTCTTCTTTTGCGCATCTGCAATGTCTGTGTGAGTCTAGCGGTCTGTGTGTGGTGAGTCTGTGGGTCTGTGTGAGTCTAGCGGTCTGTGTGTGGTGAGTCTGTGGGTCTGTGTGAGTCTAGCGGTCTGTGTGTGGTGAGTCTGTGGGTCTCTGTGTGTTGAGTCTGTGGGTCTCTGTGTGGTGAGTCTATGGGTCTGTGTGGTGAGTCTATGGGTCTCTGTGTGGTGAGTCTATGGGTCTGTGTGGTGAGTCTATGGGTCTGTGTGATGAGTCTATGGGTCTCTGTGTGGTGAGTCTATGGGGCTGTGTGGTGAGTCTATGGGTCTGTGTGGTGAGTCTATGGGTGTCTGTGTGGTGAGTCTATGGGTCTCTGTGTGGTGAGTCTATGGGTCTATATGTGATGAGTCTATGGATCTCGGGGTGATGAGTCTATGGGTCTCTGTGTGGTGAGTCTATGGGTCTGTGTGGTGAGTCTATGGGTCTGTGTGGTGAGTCTATGGGTCTCTCTGTGGTGAGTCTATGGGTCTGTGTGGTGAGTCTATGGATCTCGGGGTGATGAGTCTATGGGTCTCTGTGTGGTGAGTCTATGGGTCTGTGTGGTGAGTCTATGGATCTCGGGGTGATGAGTCTATGGGTCTCTGTGTGGTGAGTCTAAGGGTCTGTGTGGTGAGTCTATGGATCTCGGGGTGATGAGTCTATGGGTCTCTGTGTGATGAGTCTATGGGTCTCTGTGTGGTGAGTATATGGGTCTCTGTGTGGTGAGTCTATGGGTCTGTGTGGTGAGTCTATGGATCTCGGGGTGATGAGTCTATGGGTCTCTGTGTGGTGAGTCTATGGGTCTCTGTGTGATGAGTCTATGGGTCTCTGTGTGGTGAGTCTATGGGTCTCTGTGTGGTGAGTCTATGAATCTCGGTGGGAATATCTGTATGTACGTTGAACTTCTTCTGCACCGTACATAGCCCACCGTGCTAATCGGAGGTGCGAGGAAAGGCGACAAGTGCAACACAACAAGCTGCAGTTTGCGTCGGCGTTGAGTCTGCGGCGCCGCGTGGAACGGTTCTAAGTGAGAGTTCTGCTTTAGTGTTTTGAACTCATGAATGTTTACAGCGGCGGAGTAGTGATGTGCACAGGTGAGGTCAGGGAGACGTCATGTCACCGGGGGGCAAGGTCGGGGAGCAATGGAACGCCGCGTGATTGTGAGTGCAGTGAGCCACCGGTCACGAGATTGTGTTGGCAGCCGCTGATAATCATCGTCAGACGAAACACAAAACTGTTCGTTGTGCTTAGTTTGTTGTCCTTCCCCCTCACCGCTGATTAGTGTGGTTGGCTACGCACGGCACAAAATAAGTTCAACAGAGACCCGTAGACTCATCACACAGAGACCCGTAGACGCACCACACAGAGACCCATAGACTCATCACACAGAGACCCATAGACTCACCAATCAGAGACCCGTAGACTCATCACACAGAGACCCATAGACTCACAACACAGAGACCCATAGACTCACACACAGAGACCCATAGACTCACCACACAGAGACCCACAGACTCACCACACAGAGACCCACAGACTCACCACACAGAGACCCATAGACTCACTCACACAGAGACCCACAGACTCACCACACAGAGACCCACAGACTCACCACACAGAGACCCACAGACTCACCACACAGAGACCCACAGACTCACACACAGAGACCCACAGACTCACCACACTGACCCACAGATTCACCACACAGAGACCCACAGACTCACCACACAGAGACCCATAGACTCACTCACACAGAGACCCACAGACTCACCACACAGAGACCCACAGACTCACCACACAGAGACCCACAGACTCACACACAGAGACCCACAGACTCACCACACTGACCCACAGATTCACCACACAGAGACCCACAGACTCACCACACAGAGACCCACAGACTCACCACACAGAGACCCACAGACTCACCACACACTGACCCACAGACTCACCACACAGAGACCCACAGACTCACCACACAGAGACCCACAGACTCACCACACAGAGACCCACAGACTCACCACACAGAGACCCACAGACTCACCACACAGAGACCCACAGACTCACCATACAGAGACCCACAGACTCACCATACAGAGACCCACAGACTCACCATACAGAGACCCACAGACTCACCATACAGAGACCCACAGACTCACCACACAGAGACCCACAGACTCACCACACAGAGACCCATAGACTCACCACACTGACCCACAGACTCACCACACAGAGACCCACAGACTCACCACACAGAGACCCACAGACTCACCACACAGAGACCCACAGACTCACCACACAGAGACCCACAGACTCACCACACAGAGACCCACAGACTCACCACACAGAGACCCACAGACTCACCACACAGAGACCCACAGACTCACCACACAGACCCACAGACTCACCACACAGAGACCCACAGACTCACCACACAGAGACCCACAGACTCACCATACAGAGACCCACAGACTCACCATACAGAGACCCACAGACTCACCACACAGAGACCCACAGACTCACCACACAGAGACCCACAGACTCACCACACAGAGACCCACATACTCACCATACAGAGACCCACAGACTCACCATACAGAGACCCACAGACTCACCACACAGAGACCCACAGACTCACCACACAGAGACCCACAGACTCACCACACAGAGACCCACAGACTCACCACACAGAGACCCATAGACTCACCACACTGACCCACAGACTCACCACACAGAGACCCACAGACTCACCACACAGAGACCCACAGACTCACCACACAGAGACCCACAGACTCACCACACAGAGACCCACAGACTCACCACACAGAGACCCACAGACTCACCACACAGAGACCCACAGACTCACCACACAGAGACCCACAGACTCACCACACAGACCCACAGACTCACCACACAGAGACCCACAGACTCACCACACAGAGACCCACAGACTCACCATACAGAGACCCACAGACTCACCATACAGAGACCCACAGACTCACCACACAGAGACCCACAGACTCACCACACAGAGACCCACAGACTCACCACACAGAGACCCACATACTCACCATACAGAGACCCACAGACTCACCATACAGAGACCCACAGACTCACCACACAGAGACCCACAGACTCACCACACAGAGACCCACAGACTCACCACACAGAGACCCACAGACTCACCACACAGACCCATACAGGTGTAATACGTGTCTCCGACACGCTAAGAACTCAAGTCGTTTATTAATAAATCTATGGCACAGCTGGTTGTCGCTTGTCTCTCACTACGGAGTGATGATGATCGCCGCACCGGGAACTACTTTTAGGCCGAGTTGACCTTGGGGAGGCCCACGACCGGTTCAGATAATAGTCAACTGTTTTTGGCCGTAAAATAAAAAATGAAAATAAAAAAATAATAGAAATAATATAAATAAAATAATAAATCACGACGTTTCGGGGGCAACACAAGCTTCCTTCGTCAGGTGTAAAAAGGCAGCAAAGTAACTGCACGTCGTGATTAATAATGTTATTTATTAAAAATATTGATTTATTTATTATTATCTATCTCTACTGTAGTCTATGGGTCTCTGTGACCCCCCCCCCCTCCGTGCGGATCGTGAATCGAGGTCAGAATCGACCGACGGCTTGCAATCGAAGTCGATTCTAACGTTATCGCATGGAGGAATCGATTGCTCTCGATCCACGGATCGATCCGACGCCATCACCGAGAACCAAATCGCAATGGAGGGAGACGCCATCAGCTCCCAGCGAGTCGCGAAGTTGCCACCACCTCCACCTCCTCCACCACCTCCACCACCTCCTCCACCTCCTCAATTGCCTCGCGACATCAACGACCCTCCCACAGCAGCAGCGGCAGCGGAATCAGCAACAACGAAGTCAACACCCGCCACTGAGGCCTACACCGCCATGCAGCCTGCGGCCTCTGCCCAAGCCGCGTCGCATTCTGCGGGGGAGATTCAGGCGAGGGTCGGTGGCGGCGAGGAGGAGGAGGAAGATGATGAAGCGATGGAGCTACTGACCGTCATGACCGTCGATCTAATCACCGGCTACGTAGCTCACCTGACGCAACAGCCGGAGCAGCGGCGGCAGCTCCGCAAGCAGCAGCAGGAGCAGCAGCAGCAGCCTGTGCATCAGCGACTGCAGCAGCGGCAGCGGCAGCTTCAGGAGGTGCAGGAGCAGCTCCCGGAGTTGCAGCGACATCTCGAGCTGGCGCAGCAGCAGCAGCGGCAGCGGGCGGAGACGCTCTGGCAGCAGCAGCTGCAGCACATGCAGCAGGTGCAGCAGCAGCTCCAGCAGGTGCAGCGGCAACAGGAGCTGGCGCAGCAGGTGCAGGAGCAGCTCCAGAAGGTGCAGCGGCAACAGGAGCTTGTGCAACAGCTGCAGCAGCAACAGAAGCTTGTGCAGCAGCTGCAGCAGCAGGAGCTTGTGCAGCAGCAGGAGCATCTGCAGCAGCTGCTGCAGCTGCTACAGGAAGTGCAGGAGCAGCAGGAGCAGCAGCTGATGCTTCGGTTCGAGCAGCTGCAGCTAATGCAACAGGAGCATCTGCAGCAGTCGCAGCAGTTCGAGGACCTTCAGGAGCTGCGGCGGCAAGTGCGTCAACTCCAGCGGCAGGTGCGGGAGGCCGGGGCGCAGCTGCAGAGCTCCCAGCGGCTGGTGCGGCTGCGTGCGGAGCGGCTGCAGGAGGCGTTCGACACCCGAGGGGACGTGTTGCTGGCAGAGTTCGAAGCCTCCATCCCGGACTTTGTGAGCGGCGCGGAGCGGCTGGCGAAGCGAGTGGAGCCGCGCCGGCTGGTCGTGACCATGGCCTGGAAGGTTCTCAACGGAGCGCCCCTGAGCTGGGACGGCGTCCTGTCCGCGGTGGTGTACTGCGCGCTGCTCGTCAGGAGCCTCGGGGCCTGCGGGCGGCTGGGAGACTCGGAGAAGACGCGGCCCCTGACGGACCTGGTGGCCGCTGTGCTGCTGGTCGAACGCAGAAGCTGGCTCATGGAGCACGGAGGCTGGGTGAGGGGTTACACACCACCAACACCGCCACCACACCACCGCCACCACCACCACCAACACCACCACCAACACCACTACCGTCGCCAACACCAACACCACCACCAACACCACTACCACCACCACACCACTACCGTCGCCACCACCAACACCACTACCACCACCAACACCACCACCAACACCACTACCACCAACACCGCCACCACCAACACCACCGCCACCACCACCACCAACACCACCACCAACACCACTACCGTCGCCAACACCAACACCACCACCAACACCACTACCGTCGCCACCACCAACACCACCACCAACACCACTACCACCACCACCACCAACACCACTACCGTCGCCACCACCAACACCACCACCAACACCACTACCGTCGCCACCATCAACACCACCGCCACCACCAACACCACCACCAACACCACCAACACCACCACCACCACTACCACCACCAACACCACCACCAACACCACTACCGTCGCCACCACCACCAACACCACTACCACCACCAACACCACCACCAACACCACTACCACCACCAACACCACTACCGTCGCCACCACCAACACCACCACTAACACCACTACCGTCGCCACCACCAACACCACCACTAACACCAACACCACCACCGTCGCCACCGCCACCACTAACACCACTAGCCAGCCACTCACAGGGGGTGTCTTCTTCCCATATTTGAGGCACCTCAGCCTCAGCAGGGTTATCCCCACTTTGTGCCATGATGTTTTCCAGGCTGAGGGATTTCCCCTCCCCCAGGTCCTCACAGAAATGCTCAGCAAATCTGCAAACCTGTTCCTGGGGGTCGTAGATTGAATCTCCGTTCTTTCCCCTAAGGATGGTAATAGGTGTGGTGCTGCAGGTTACTTTTTTGATGGAATTAAAGAGCGATTTGTGATCGTGGGCCATTGAGGCAGACTCCATCTCCTCAGCAACACACGACCACCAACCATCCTTGCAGCGCCTCACGGCTCTCCGAACCTCCGAGCGAAGGCTGCGCTAAGCCTCATTCTCTGACAGTGGGATGCTGTAGAGTCTACAGCATCCCACTGTCAGAGAATGAGGCTACAGTCTACAGTGTAGACGATGAGAGTGGGCCTGTCGCTTTTTCTCAACCAGCATGAACACCACCTCTGTCAGCCAGGGTCTCTGGGGAGGTCTGGATGGTGTACCCAAAGCAGCCATTGCAGCTGCATGAGCCACAGTCCTAAACCTTGCTCATTTTCCCTCGACATCAGGAGTGGGGGATGATGCAAACCCCAGCCGCAATCGATGATGCAATTCTCGCT